GGCACACAGAGACCGCAGTCCAGGCATCTGCTTTCTCTTCTGTTAGCATGCTAGGGCATGACCTAGGAGGAGCATTTCTGGGAATGGAAGGAAGCTGCAACTGGACTGTCTGGCTTCGGTAAGAAAGACAATAGCTTTTATCATGATTTTTCTAATAGGAATATCTACTGCCTCCCAAAGTGGAATCATATCACCAGCTCGTTCCGTATAGATCATTATATAGCTACCTAATTCGACTTGAAATGGTGGCCTGCAAGGTCTCATTATTTCAGTACCATTCTCCAAATCTCCTTTAGTTCTCTAAAATAAGCAGCATGAGAACCATAATTGTAGTATAATTGCGGAGTTACCTACTTTTTCTTTTAATGAACATCATAGAATATTTGCCTAGTTTACAAGATACAAGTTTTTCTCTCATAGACCTTACAAACTTAACCTGAACATCGAAGGCCGAGCTATTTCTTTTGCAGCGCCTGCACATCAGCACCAGACAGGGAGAGGCTAGCATTTAGTTTTCCTGATGATGCAAAGGGCATATGGACTCAGTTGCACTTCTCTTGTGCTACTGGCTTTGTGGGGCTGGCAAATAAAATTTGTTTTATGGGAAATGTGCCTGAGAAAAGCAGCAGAGAGCATGTACTTGAGGAAAAAAGTGCCATTTCATGAGTTTTTTTATCTTAATGGAATTTTTAAAATTACAGTTGCTTTAATCCTTTATATTGCTTTCACTTGAAAGTTGAAGAGTTACTAGATACATAATCAAAGCATGGAGTCTCACAAGATGGCTTTTTTAGCCATCCACAGAGTTATTACATAAAATTGTCCTTTTCTCACAGCATCATAAGTTTAGTCTTTGTTGTCTCCTTCTATGATCTTCAGATTAGTTACTGTTTAATTATTGATATTTACAATGTGGCAGTAGTTAAATGTTACTGCAGATTTACAGGTAGTCTTTATATTCCTCTATTCAGTGAGGAAAATATTTGTATTATGATGAGTCACAGGAACTGATTTAAAATGCTATATGTAAACATCTACCTGACCTCTATCTGCAGAGCAAAATTCTCTGCATAATCAGTGGTTCCTGACTGAAGTCTGCAGGATTTCATCTTATTGTTGCCTCTCTTTGCTGGGAAACCCTGGGAATCTGGGGTTTGGTTGTTTCTGTTCTTGTTCAGCAATGAGTGCCTCTGGCTCTTTACAGCAAGAGAACCGAGGCCATTCAGTACACAACTGCAGCCATATCGCCCTACTTTCTCTTTCAGAACCACCTGAAAATGCATGGTTGCACAAACCTCCTTTTGCTTCTCATCTTTAGATTTTGGACTCCCTTTTCTGAGGAATTTGTTCACAGCAAGGACCCTAGCAGTGACACAAAAAGCACTGTATTTCTCCTAATAGGCATCCATAACCCCTGGCCTTTGCTGCTGAGATTTCTCTGGACGCTTGAGGATCAAGTACTACGTGGGATAACAGCAGCATTGGGGAATAGCTGTTAAATAGCTGAGGAGTTAAAAAGCACTGATATTTTGCTGTATGTGGCACATATTTGGGGAAATATCAGCGACAGCTGTTGAGATGCTCCCTCTGTTTGGTGTCACTGAATGTGAGGCTTGCAGACAGCAGCCTCTGGGGTGAAAGCATTTTTGCTCTTCCTTGCAGCACGCTTGCTTTGGCTGGCTCCAGTGCTCTGCTGAGCAAGTCAGGCTGGCTTTCAACCGAGTCCTGCAAGAGGCAATTTTAGCTTTTAGGAAAATCTGACTGAGGCACCTGTCAAAACAATCTTGCATTAGGACTCAACAAGTCTGGTGGTCTTTCATTTAAAGCAAGTTAGTCATGTTGGGATTTTACATTGGTGGATGTACGGGGATCCATTCTCTGGAAACATCCTGACACCAGTGTATGCTGGCTCACACTTCAGTAAAAGCAGGCTTCCATATGGCGCAACAATGACCTCAGCCAAGCTATTGTTTTGGGTATTGGCTGAAGAGGATTAATTGATTCATCTTGGGCCACCAGCTTTCCCAGTTGGTCACCCGTCCCCGGGAAATATTATTTCCCTCAGTCAGACTTGACTAATTATAAGCCTTTAAGAATGGCAGTTTCAAAAAAAAAAAGACCTGCTGAGTGAGTTATTAGTCATCCTTATCTCAGAGAGAGGAGACAGCTGCTCTAACATCTTCTTTATCTCTGCAGTGCCATAGTCTCAGGAGACTGGGCTATGGGGAAAGCTGTGCATCAGAGAGCTGAAATCCTACTGCTTTCAAGGAGAGCAAAGAGCACAAATGTTTGTTCCGAAAGCGCTAGCTTTAGATTCTCTCCAATAAGAAATCATGGTTTTATTTGTAAAAGCTATCCACTTTTAACAAATGATTATTAAAAATACCCTTGTATTTTTCTAATGATGCCTGAAACAGATTTTTTTGGAAAATAGTTGGAGTTCAGTTTTTCCCCTGACAGATGATCTAGCTTCATCTGTGAAAGAACTTTGAAGCAGAGGCTGACAGTCTGGCATGAGTTATCCTTTCTTTGCAAAACTGTGGTCCTCTCTGGTTTTGGACATGAAAAATCCCAGAATACATTTTGAAGAATGCTATGGTTGAATTCACTTTGGTGTCTGCATTTCATTCTCTGAAGCACTTTTTCTAAGGTTTTAATATGCTTTCTCATATTCTTTCTAAACTTGACTGTGTTGCGGCTATTTTCTGTGGTGTTGAGGAAGTCTCTAGAGAAGGCACTGAAAGCATGTTATATGTTACATAGTTGTACAATCTGATGCTGGGAAATGGCTAGGGTTGTACCAAACCGAGCGTATCAGAAGAGGTGCCATAAATGGGAGTGTGAGAGCATCACTCAGTGACCTCTCTCTTTAACCCTGGTGTATCCACAGAAAGATGTAAACACCCTTGCTCCAAACATCTCTTAGCAAAAAGTATGGTGTCATACTCATCTTATATTTCAGTGTTGGTAGATTGCTTTAGTCAAATAAAATTTTGAGCTTGGTCTGTGGATTACAGGTTTCTTCATTGGAATTTTCCTATCAATTAGCAAACTACCTGCCCTCCAGACAAAGTGGCACAGATCCATCTGTCCAAATTCTGCCAAACTGTCCATCTTCTGCCTCCTTTGCATAATGCACTATATTACAGTGCACATTTAATACAGCATCATTGTCTAGGAAATGACATTTGACTTTCACCTTGACAGGTGTTGGACAGTCTCACTAACTTTTCCATTATTTCCTCATCATAAGTTTTATCCATAATGAGGCTGAGAATAGGGGCTGTTTTGCCACTTATTACAGAGATTGCCAAAAATATATTTATCCCTAGCTTCTTGCAAAGACTCATCGACACACACACAGTTTATGTGGCTGTCACCTGTTAGTGTCTTTAGGGTCCCTCTATTCTAGGGATCAGTAAAGTCCCCCGGGGCAGCAGGAAGCTGTGTCTCTGCAAGGCAATGGTGTTTTCACAGGATAAACTACTACTCTGTTATTTTCACTTTCCCTGTTATTTACACAGGCAATAACGGCTCAGGTTTTGTTCCTTACTTACTATCTTGCAGTTCATGTCTCTAGAACCCCCGTGGGATGAAAGAGTGCACCTCACAGGCTAATAACATTTTTTTCATGAGACATATATTAGCAAACCAAATGTGTAGTATTACTTACCAAAAATAACTTTACATCTAACATCTGTCTTGCTTTTAAGACATTGCAGGAAAATTCCCTGTCAAGAAGTAATTATGAATTATTTTTCAGACATTTTCTGTTTCTTCTTCCATCAACAGAAATGATCTCATACTGGACAAATAAAGAGGATGATGTCACCAGCAGGTGCTGAAATTAGCATCAGGTTGCTAGGAATGTCATCCTATAAATTTGTTTTTCAGTAAAAGTAAACAGAAGAAATGCATTAAAGCCCTTTAAAGACTAGAATATTTATTCAAATCCTCACCAAAAGTCTTCTTATTCAGAATATACCACTAGCTTACCAATCACATTACAGAGCTTGCAATTTTCGTTATATTACAGAAAGTTGTTGATAATTGATGATATTACAAGCTTTGCCTGAACATGTGTATCTAGTTAAAGTCATATATGAAAAAGTAAAGATCACTTTATGTTGCTAGTCCTCCCAGCTTCTTATTGCCACCTATAAAGTAGGACAAAAAGCCTAATGGAAAATGTGTGTTCACTTTCCTCAGAATTTAGTTTGGTTAAGAAGTTGCCGAAACAGTATCTTTTTAACTTACACATATGTATAAATTTAGAGAGATTTCCCTCTTTAATGATAGATCAGAGATGTTTCATCATGGTGACAGATAGATAGGGCACCTGGCTGACACAATAATGTTTGTCAGATAAATGACAGTGGAAAGCAGGTTGGAATAGCCTCTCTGCCAGGAAAATACTTTCTGCCAAACCTGTAGGTGGTTGACTGACAGCCTGTTCAAAACGAGGACAGTTACATAATAATAATTCTACTCTGTATCACCAGTGATGCTAATGTATGCAAATGCTGCTATAATGGGTCCAATTAGGTTTCTCTGTATACAGAAATATGCCAAACTACCTGTATCTAATTTGGCTAGTTGGTGAACTGTGAAACCTGGATGCCAAGACAAGGAGAGCATGTGTAATGCATGGGGATGCCGGTGGCATCACAGCGTACCGGACTTGCTCCTCCACACCCCCAGGCTGGTTCTTGTGGTGCCCCACACTGCTGTCACTGGCCCTGCAGGGACTCCCCACTAGCTGCCATCGTGTGCTCAAGGGGACAAAAACTTTTTCACATTTTGCCAACTCTGCAAAGTGCACTTTGGTGTGGGGCTGGCTGGAAGCAGATCTGGTAACGGACTGGGACAGTGAAAATAGCCCCTGCGCAAGGAGCAGCAAAAATATCCCCCACATGAAGGTGATGGGGCAGCTTCAGACAGGGCCTGGCAGCCAGCTGTGACCTGCCCTGGACATTTGGCGAGGAGAGGGGGGCCAAGGCATGACCCAGCTGCGAACCTGGATAGCAGGTAAAATAGTGAAGGTGTTTATGGCAATAAGAGAAAAGCAGAGAAATGCAGTCTTGGAGCTGTCATCCCTGACCCTCATGGTACAGCTGCTCTGCCCATCTCCCAAGCGCAGGCTCATCGGACCCTGCCTGGAGGAGGCAGCAGGTGAGAGCTGTCATGCAATACTTGCTCCTGCTCCCTTGGAAAGACATCTGCTGAGGCAGAGCGGACTTTTAGGTATCCCTTGCTGTCTTTACCAGGTTATAGTGAATTCTAAGGTAAGGTTAGTCAAAGCTGAGGGAGAACCAGAGAACTCAGGAGCAAGGCTTTCTGTTTTATATTTTCAGCAGCTCATTTTCACTTTTATTAAGGTTAGTTTATTGACTTCTCTTAGCTGCAAGTAATCAGTGCATGAAAAATCTCACTCCTTTTTAGTATTTTCAGCATATTTCATTAGTGCAATAGTGAACAAACTGTGTTGGGTAATGAGCTGGAGTGAAAGCTGCTAGCTCAGTAATCATGAACGAAACACTTCCGCACTTAATGAAAGAGAGGGAGTCATTTATTAAAGAAGTTTTACTTTAGGGCCTCCTGAGTTTCTGTTGTCTCTATTAATCAGCTGATCTTGTGAAGAGTTTAAATCAGCTCCAATGTTGTCAGAAACTAGCCCCACTTCAAGTGAAGAAAATGTGATTGTCAGCAACTTGCAGGATATCCAGCTGCATGTTAGGCCTGTGAGCTGGATGCTTAGTATGACGTGTAGGCAGGCTCTCCAGGAGCAGCAAAGAAGACCTATATGGCATCACTTTATTTTGAATAACACTCTTCCTCTAACCCAGGCAAACTGGTTCATAGTCAAGCGATACAATAACACAGATAATGCCAGGGCTGTTCAGGAACATGAGCAAGTGAGGAGAAGCTGGAAAAAAAAAAAGAGATAGAAAAAGTGATTGCAGCAGAGAGAGGAGAAGGTCACTGCAATGAGTAGTGACTGCAGAGAAGGCAGCGGCACCAAGCATAGTGGGACCATGTGCTGGGATAGAGAGGTGGCCAGAGCTAAGAGGCTGAAGATAGAAAGTCTGGGAACAGCAATGATTTATTTTTTAAAACTAGCACTAAATATGTATCTTCAGATATATATTCAGGGTAGAAATCGTTCAGACCCAGCCCAAAAGGGTTTATGCTCCAAAGAACCAGATGGATTGTGTTTACTGCTTCACTACTACCTGCTACAGTCACTCAGCCAGCCATGCCTAGAGGTGATAGCATAAATAAAAACATAGGCAAAATATCCTGCTTGGAGCTTCAGGGCATGTAGTGAAAAGTGAGTAAACACTGTATAAACCAGAGTAAATACAGGTAAACTCCATTTATTTGTATTTATACCACTGGCTCTAATTCCCAGTGAACAGATTGCCTTAAAATCACAAGACCTTCTGTGTAATACATTTGGGTTCATTTTGGTTTGTCTCCCAAGCTGTGGATTCACCTGATTCATATGCTAAAGCTTCCCCCTGCAACTAGAAGGACTGGCAACCGAACCGGAGCTGTAGTGTGGCTGTACCACTCCAGCAGCTGGGCCTGCAAGCCGAGCTCCAAATGTTGAGGCTTGCAGCAGGATCCTCAGAGCCTGCAGCACCGCAGCAGCGTTAGCTTAGAGACGGCTCAGGTAAGACCATCCTCTAATCATTAGAGTAAAGAAGCTGCAAGAGTCGAATGAATCCATGGATGTGATAAGGAGAGGCAGGACATGCAGACACAGCCATGTGGCTCCAGGGCACCCATTACACAAGACGGCCAGCTCAGACCGGGCAGTTGTTTGGCTGCGGCGATACGGTGCCTTGCAACTGTAGACAGACCAAGACAGTTAAGGGGAAGGTGCTTAATGTAGCATGTGTACCCCTAGACCAGTGATACAGCAGTGGTTGCTTGGTTACAAACTCCTGTGTAACTCTCCCCTCTACATCAGGCTTCATCCAAGCTCGTAAATTCCACCAAGAGACCTATTAGCTTTTTTGCTCAAGCACAGCACAAGGTACATGGAATCAAACTGCTCCAGGCCCAAGCTGCACTGAGCTAGCTGCTCTGAGCTGTTGGAAAAGTTTGCTCAGATCTCCACATGTTCAGGGATTTCTGCAATGCTTTCTAGTGAACATTGGAGTAATGTCCTTGCTCTCCTGTACCCATGAGAGGATTGCACATTTTTAGTGGTGCTTTCTAAGCACGCCGTGCAGATACTGATCTGAGGGCTAAATTTCAATCCCATAACTAGACTTGCTCTCTTTGCAACTTTCCTCAGTCAGGGTAGCTCCAGCCAGAATTGTATTTGGCCTGGCTGCAGGTTTCGGGAGCACAGTCTCCCCCTCACACGCTTCATGGCATGCCTCTTCCCAGAGCTCTGGTTTCTGGGTAGTACAGTTCTTCTTTGCAGGGCCAGTAGAATGCCACAACAGATTCAGAGATCACTTTGCAGTCTGTTAAGTGCAGGACAGACCAGATGTAGACAAGCTAAACCAGCTGCACACCGTTCCCTGCCTGTAGCACCACACCCCGAGGATGCCCAGATCCTTCCTCTCCCCTCCTCTTGTACATGGCTTCTTCTCTGACATGTGGAGTCCTTCCTCCAGCAGCCAGGACCAGCTGAGGAAGTAAAGAAGTTGCCTTTTATAGCCTTGAATTTTGAATGCTCCATACAAGTCTGATTCCATTATAAGCCACTGGCTAAAATGAGCACTGACCACTGTGAGCACGGCTCACCTACAAGTCACAGCTGACTGCGCTGTCACCTCTCTCAAGGATCGAACTCCTCTCTTACTCAGCTACACAGTTGAGCTTGATACTAGATTTGTTACGCAGGTTTCTGTATTCATTATGGTAGATAACAGGCATAATATGATCTACTGGTCAGTAATAAGGTGTAGTGGTAATCCAGCAGCACATAGGGAGGTTGAGCTCCTTAGCAGCTGGAGTCCAGAGAATTCAAGCTGTGATTGTTCTTTTTACAGTTTAGCTGGTTCTCTATACATTGCATCATACATTCTCTATTAGTTTTCATATCCCCATGATGCATTTTCTAACAGTTCGCTTATTTTATCCATATGCTAAGCATGTGCCAAGTGGGATCCTGTCATTAGGAGCTGTTGATCTAGAAATCTGAGCTGAAATGAGGAACGTTGAAGGAATGTACATTTCCAAAGAATTCCAAAGAAATGAGGCACTCACTGTTGTAGACAGAAAAGAACTTTACTTTAAATCTTAAATATGATAAATGAATAGATAAAGGACAATGCAATGCTGCTGAGGCGAAAGAGTTCCTATAAGGCTTCAATACTGAACTTCGGATAACAGATATGAGAGTGGGAATTATAGTTAAAAGCTCTAAACCATACCTTAAAGATCACTCACTGATAGGGTGGCCAGTTAGGGGAGAAATCTTACCTAAACCTACCTGAGGTCTAAGGAAACTCCCAAGCCATCTGGAGATAGGAATCTTTCCTTGAACATGAGCTTACATCTGGGTTGAGCTCTTTTATTATTTTATCACAAATATGAAATCAGCGTTATCATTTTAAGACCAGCAACTATACCTCCTTGCTTTTTGCAGTCCAGCTTCTTGTTGCTTATCCAGCAGATGGAACGTCACTGCTTATCTCTCACTTCTGACATACCTTATCTCTAATGCCTTCCTGTTACTTTAGCCCCTATTAGCCTAACTTAGCACGATTGAAGTCAGGAATAGGGCTTCCTGAATGATAACATTCATTCATGTTCTTATATCTCCATTGATTTTACTCACTTCTAGATATTATGCACTATTTAGCATACTAAAGCCCAAAATAATAATTAACATTATTTAAGAATTTTATACAATAGCATGTTCAGTTCATGCTGTATGTCTTTAATTGCCATATGTGGTCATTTCCTGGTCTGCATGCCCTTCAGTATAACAGTTGTCTTGTGTAGACCTTTGTCAGCTCTTTGACAGATTTCAGAGAGGCATAATGTTTAACTGCATATCTATCACATGCTCAAGCACATCACTACTTCATTTGTACAGATAGTATCATAAGATGTCACATTTTTTAGGGCTTCAGAGCATCACTTTTGCCTGTTGCGTAACTCTTGATCAACCTCATCAGATGATTAAAGTCTTCACAGCGGTGATCTGTTGCTTAGTCACTAGCCTAGCTTTCTTGATCTGGCCATCTTCTTTGCTGAAGAAGGTTTTCATTGAGTTGGAGGCACATAAACTTTAACAAATTTTCAAATTTGTCTTTTGTCCCCCACTTTGGCATCTCCTCCCCAGAAAAAATGCAAGGACAACAGCAAGAAAAGCATATTAGCCTCACAAAATGAAGTTTGCAATTTAATATGAAGTTTAAATTGCATAGTGAGAGTTCATAATAAAAGTCTTTAATTGGAATGCATAAATCACTTATAGACAGATTCCCAAAATGATCGCTACTCCACTTATCATCAATCTGCAGAGTATAAATTACTGTCCAAGGTACAAGGACAGTTAGTATAAGGTATAAAAATCAATCTTATGTCCCTCATATCAAGCTTGGCTACCCAATTCTGACAATTTTCGACAGAAAATCCATAGCAATAATAGCTATCTCATTGGTAGTATTCACAGTGTTGCTGCTATGGCTTCTTTCATAGGGCCAAAACATTGGCTGGAGTATTTTTTTTTCTTTCACAGAGACTCTCTATGGGTTCAGAAATAACAGAGATGACCTAATTATTCAAATTACTTTTGGAAGATTTCTTCAAAAGAAGTTCTAGCTTACCTTATAAGGACCTGAACTAATCTTTCAGGGACTGATTTTGTAGCTCAGTATCTGTTTTCTTACAGAAATAATTTTCTACCTAGAATTTTGCATTGCAAGTTTCTTAAGCTTTTTTTTTTTTAGGAATTTGAAGATTAAATGAAGTAAATTAATTTCCCTATTTGGCTTATTAGAGATCCACTCAGCCCCATCAGCTAGGCTTCTTATAAGTTAGAAAAGAATAAATCAACTTTTTCTTCTTTCTGCCCAGCCAAGCCAGGCAAGGAAGGTTTCACAGAAGACTGTGCAGCCTGAACTTTTCAGTCATTCCTGTCTCCTGAAGGGTGAATTTCCTCATCTGGGCCCAGGTGCTGCAGAAGCTCCATGTCCTGCCACCAGCCCTGATCAATGCTTCCTTGCCCTAAGGCAGCGTATCTGTTCCTGGAGGATCTGGTCAGGTAGGTAGTTTAGCCATGCAATGTATAATTGCACTAAGGAACTCCCTG